AGGTTGGGGTGGCTGGGGAGACTTACTTTGCTGCCAAGGGCCTGGGCCTGGGCCTCTGTGTCCAGCTCTCCATCCGTATCTGTCTGCTCACCGTCTCCGCTTCTCTCTCCAGGGCTTGGCTCAGGCCCACCTGCAACAGACACCTGCATGACTCCAACCAGGGAGAGAGAGATTGGGAGCCAACCCTTAGTCTATCCACCCCCCTCCCCACCCGTCTATCCTTTCATCCACTCACCCTCCCACCCAGTCATTCATCTATCCATCCATCATCCATCCACCATCCATCCATCATCCATCCATCATCCATCCATCCATCCATCCATCCATCCATCCATCCATCCATCATCCATCCATCCATCATCCATCCATCATCCATCCATCCATCCATCCATCCATCCATCCATCCATCCATCCTCCATCGCAAAACATCCAGGCGGGGCCCTCTGCTGACCTTACGAAGACCTATCAAGCATCAGTTAAAACCAGTCCTAATCTCAGCAGCAAACTAGCTCTCATCATGAATCTGATCAGTGTTCACACCTGCAGATATCCACCCTGCAGCTACTGACCGACCCCCTCTGCAGACACTGAGACTCAAGTTGCGGTGGGTGAAGGAGGTCTGGAGCTAAGTCTTGTTTCCCAAACAAACCACTTCTCCCAGTGTCCTGTCTCCTGCTTATCAGTTGGCCCGGCAGGCACAGCTGGGAGGGAGGTGAGGCTTGGCCCAGGGCTCTCTCCCTTCCTTTCTCTGCCCCCCTTCACCCCCAGACATGAATACCAGCTAGCCAGCAGTGCCCGCTCTCTGGACAGTGACAGTCTTGAAGAAACTCATGTCAAACAGCCAGACAGAGGGCACAGAGACATGGACTCTGTCTGCCTGGAGGGTCTGTGGACGTGGGTTTCCAGAGCCCGGGGCTGTGTGTGTGTCTGGTCAGGGTGGCGTCCCTGCCTCTATGACTGAATATGAACAGGGTCTCCCTGGCACTTTGGCTGCAGCCCCCTGCGTCTCCCTCTCTACCTGGGACACGGGTTGGAGCGGTGTTGACCCATCTCTGGATACCGGGTCTCGGTTAAAGAAACTCAAAGGATTTTCCATGTTCCTGATGTAGGACAGGTTTCGTGGTAGGGGGTGGACATAAAATCATTTGAGGGAGAAAGACTTACTGTGCACACTGGGCGAGCTGAGCGCTCTGCTGGACAAACCTACAGCCAGGAAAAGGTGCTGAGCAGACAGGACTCTGCGGGAGCCCTGAGCACGGACCCGAGGGAGGGGCTCCCCCCATCCGTGTCCACTCACGCTGTTCCATTCCCGAAGCTCCCGCCACCCCGTCGTGGGGCTGCTGGGGAAACTCACCCACCCCTCGGAAGGCTGCTGTGCAGACCCTGGGCGCCCCCACCCGCTGCACACGCTCTGGCTGGGGCTTCAGTCGTTTCTTTGTTTGAGTACTTTTTTTTAGCGGCACGACTTGCCCAGCGTTTGTGCTCCTTCCCTGCGCCCCTGCTCGGTGGGCTGTGTTCGTGGGCGCCCTGCAGGGGACACAGCCGCTGGGACGCCGCTCCAGGGACCTGAGACCTGCCTCCGGGAGAGGGAAGCAGGGTTCCTCTGCCCCACAGCGCCACCTCCTGGCTCTCCGTGGTGGTGACAGTTTTGAAACTGGCGGGTTCCTGGCAGAGTTGGCTCACTGAGCTCTGGACCCCGTGACCTTTTATGTAACACAGATTCTGGAGCCTCCCTAGGTCCCTGGCAATCAGCACCTCCCAGGGTGAGGCCCAGGTCCCCAGGGGCTCTGATGTGGCCCGTGGTTTCCTGCCGCGAGTGAACGACTTTGGGGGTGAGATTTCAGATCTCAGTAGTGCAGCTTTTCCTGAGCTACCTGAGGTGCCCACCCCAAGCCCGGCGGAGACGCCTGGCCAAGCTCCTGCTGCTGCAGGAAGACCCCTCGCTGGCTCCGGGCTGGCTGAGCAGGCTCGGGGGTGGGGGGTGGGGTTTTTATGGGCTCCAGCCTGAGGCAAAGGCATGGGAAAGAGCCCCCAAGAATAGGGTGCCGGTCCCTCCGAGCTTCGCTGGGGCACTCCTAGTCACGTCCCTTGTCTCAGTGTGGTTGTCAGGAGGCCACTTTGACTCTTAAAAGTGTCCCAGTTTGGAGGGTTCTTCAATGTGTCACCCCCAAATCTGCCACCCAGGGAGGAAGGACATGGGGACACAGAGAATGAACCGGGGCCGGCTGTTCCACCAGCTGCCAAGTTTGCGAACCTTGGCTGTGAGTTCTAGACTCGCTATGGAGTTCTGAAAAAACACGACTTCAGAGGGTGAGGGAGTCAACATGCAGGACTTCCTGGGGGGCCAGGCCAGGGTGCGAAAGTCTGCACCCCACACAACAAGCAGCCAACCCCACAGAAACACGACACAGAGACTGACAGGCAGGCGCTCACACACGTCCCAAAGGAATCTGCTTGGTCCTGACAGTGAAACAGGCCTGGGAACAAAAAGCGCCCCCCCCAGACTCCCACCGTCC